CAGGAGACAGAAATTATGATGCAATTTTTACAAAACACTTGAAAATGATTTGCGTCTTGTTTACTTGTTGTGTATGTATATATAGCATTGTGAGAATCTCGTCAAGCGAAGATAGACGTAATGATATCGTGCGGTTGATGAATCTTCGTTCTGTACGATAGTATAATAGGTAGTACTCGTTTATACTTACTTGTGACGTGACTTGCAACTCCTTTTCAACCTCGCTTTTTTTTTCGTAATGGGAGGGCTTGGGTTTGGTTTGTTCTAGACTTATTACTTGGGTAGGTAAATAGGTTGGTAGGTTGGTAGGTAGGTAGGTATCTAAAAATCACTCGTATATAGCATTGATTGTATTATACCTATCTAAGTGTATAGATAGAGGATATGAAGATTATGCGTGGATGGGACGGGACGAGTAGGTATATATATATCATTATGTGTATAGCAAGCATACCCTCATACTCATTCGTATCTCGACATGATGTTCGGTTTATGAATCCCCCCCTCCCTTCTCTCCTCTCCTTCTCTCCTCCGTTTCCTCTGAACCCTTTGATGAAATGAAATAAAATGAAATAAAATGAAATAAAATGAAATAAAATGAATAAAATGAAATAAAATGAAATAAATGAAATAAATGAATAAAATGAAATAAAATGAAATAAAATGAAATAAAATGAAATAAATGAAATAAAATGAAATAAAATGAAATAAAATGAAATAAAATGAAATAAAATGAAATAAATGAAATGGAAATGGAAATATACGATATCTATCGATATTATATAATGGATATATTTAGATACCTCCTAACTATATATAGATATATTAATACTAATACTATACTAAAATAGAGTATCAGTAGAGAATTATCTAGTAGATGAATGTAATTATTAGAGTCTTTTATTTATTTTTAATATTTAAATCGTATATAGATAATGAGAATATCGATAGTATAATTTAATATATTTCTAGTTTGTATATATATGTATATTATAAATAAATAAATAAATAATCCATCAATCGATCAAAAAAATCCAAACCGGAGAATCAATTCAAAGAAAGAGAGAGAGAGAGAGAGAGGAAAAGAATTCTTTACAAATTATAAAACCTCATTCTAGTCTGTGATTATATTCACCCCATCCGTTCATCAGTTCATCAGTTTATTAGTTTATTAGTAAATGATTTGATTCGAATCATTCGAATGATACGAAACAATACGTACGAAACGATACGCAACGCAACGATGATCGTACTCCCAGATCAGATCAGATCAGATCCGTCTGGTGTGGATGAAAACGTCTTGTGTATAGTACTTATGATATCATATGATATAATACAGAAATGAATTTGGAAGAGTATGCACTGATATACAGAGATACGGAGATACTGGGGATTTCCAAGGTTAGATGGAGGTTGATGAGGAGGAGGAGGGATTAGAGGGATAGAGGGATAGAGGGTGTTTGTTAGATAGGTATATACATACTTACTTATATACGGAGTATAAAGTACTAGTATACAGGTGTTTATCTATATGTACGGGATAATAGTATAGTATATCTACCTACCTATCTTTAAATAATAAGATTAAGATTATAGATATAACTACCTAGATAGTCATCGCTTTCATTAGTAATCTTATTCATTTATGAATTCGATTTGATTTGATTTGATTCGCATTTTACATTTGGCATTTTACATTTCGCATTTTGTAGCACCTGCATTATTAACGCTGTGGCGCTGAGGGCGGTTAGTTATTTTTAACCTTATACGGAGTATATGAATATAGGTACTAGGTATACATAGATATGCATAAACTATAATTCCCGATTCCCAATTTCTGATTTCTTTTGAAACGGGAAGACGATGAATGTGTGATATCCAATCATACCTACCTACGCCCAATCATTTATGCATTTCAAGACTAGGTAACCTTATGCATAGGAAATAATTACATATACATACCGGTAGTGGAGGTATCTCATCTCATCTCATACATAGGTACCTAGTCAGGACTCAGTGTCGCATTGGAATTAGAATTGGGATTACCTAGTGTGGCTCGCTCGCCTCGGTAGTATGGTTTCGTAGTTTCGTAGTGTAGTTTCGTAGTTTCGTAGTGTACCTAGTATTGTAGATTGATTGGTTGGTGCGGTGCATACGGAGATATATGCCTAGGTATCTACGATTGGAGTCTGGGAGAGAGAATGGGAGAGTGTATGTGTGTGTGTTAATAAGTGTGTGTGTGTGTATGTATGTGTGTGTATATGTGAGTGATATGATAAGATATGATATGATATGTTCCTAGAGTGTTCCAGATTTTACGCATTTGTTTGTTTCGTTTCTTGGTCTTGGTCTTGGCTTGTTTTGTGGTTTGGTGGTTTGGTGGTTTTGTAGGGAGGGGGGGGAGGGGATCGTGTGGTTGGGCTTTGGGTTTGAGGTTTGGGGATGGGATGGGATGGAATGGGATGGGATGAATGGGTTGAGCTTGGAGCTTGGTGGGTGGTAGGTAAGCAGAAGAGGAGAAGAGAGGAAATAGAGGAAAGAAAAGTCAAGTCAAGTATCATCCACTCATCTCATCTCATCTCATTTCATCTCAAATAGTAGATATAAGATCTTACAATTCGGAGAACAGAGTACTCCGTACATCGTCCAAGAATATACATGGGCTTGATGAAGAAGCGAGATACAGAGTACAGTAGATAGAGTTGTGTGGGTGGATAACGGTGCGGTATATGAAAAAGGAATAATCACTTTATTCTGGTGGTAGGTATTTGGATGGTGGGTGGGATTTTCATCTGTATGGAGTTTTTTGATCAAGGACTTTATGGTTGTATGTATGAGTATTTATTTATTTAGTTAGTATATACTAGGTATCTATTAGTAGGATTGATCTAATAGGTAATGCAAGTATCAACAGAGTAAATGAAGTCTACCATCCATCACACTGTTCTGCATTGAGTATTCCGAAGTCATTGATTCATTCCTTCATCTGTCTGTCTGTCTGTCTGTCTGTCCATCTGTCGGTCTATTTTTGGATGTCCACATATTAATTAACCTTGCGGAGGACGGGTAATCTGATCTGTAATGAAGTGATCTGTGCCAGTCATGAATCTAATGTCTGATTCCATACTGGGTAGGGACGGAGATATGGAGATGAAGATGGAGGGATGGAGTATTCAATTTCGATTTTTGGGAGAATTCAATATTGGATTGGGATTCGATTTCGATTTCGATTTCGATCGAGCGGCTTGGATGTTTACCTAGTCGTTGGTATGTATGTGGACGGACTATTATGGATCGGTGGGTTTATATTAAATAAATATGGAATTTTATGGGATTTCATTTCAGGTGGTTTGATCTGGTTTGGTTTGGTTTGGGAAGAGATGGAGATGGATATGGATGGATATGGAGATGATGGAGATGATGATGGAAATGAGGTATGGCTGTGTAGTGTGAAGTGGGCATTTTCAAGGTTATCTAATGAGATGATTTTGGAGAGGATGATTGTGGTTTATGAGGTATTAGGTATTTAGGTATTGGATGAGGACTATTAGATGAGTACTGGTATTAGATGAGGACTGGTATTAAATGAGGACCTACCTCGCTGAGATGAATGATTATTACTGTTTATTAGATGAATACTCTGGTTTGAGTTATTCTTTATTAGATGAACGCTTGGTGGGAAATAAGTTGTTGGTATGGAATGATGAGACTCTATTAGAGAATGAGTGACTCTATCAATTGATGACTATCAATTAACAACTCTATCAATTAACAACTCTATCAATTAACAACTCTTTCAATTCACAACTCTCACTCATTCCATTCAAATATCCTCCGTACGCTTAACACATCTTCCCAAGTGCCATTTCAATGTCAAACCCAAAAGTCTCACAAAGTCCCATGAACAGATGAGAAAGTCAAACTCCCCTGAAAGTTCATTTCTATTCGTCGACGCTTCTTCGATTCCCTTTTCAAACGCTCCGTTCCGTTTCAATCTATCCGCCTCTGGTAATAATGTGGGAAAGTCAGAACCTGTCGAGACTCAAGATCCTGAGGGCTTGTTGTGTTGTTGTTGATCTAGTCCGGTTGTGATCATCTTTTCATGCAAACTTGTCATGCAGGTGCGTGAGGGTGAGGCATGTGAATGGTGGAAGCGAAGCTTTGGAGTCCTGAGTGAGAATGGTCTTGGATGTGTGAGATGCTGTGGCAGAGTGGCAGAGAGAGAGAACCTTGTGCGTGTGGCATGATATGCTCGGAACAAAAGCTTCGTCTCAAACGGGTTAGACCGGAAAGACTATTAGTACGGAGACCATTCCAATTTCTGACGGCTTAAACCGCCCTTCCACCCATTCCCTCTCACGACTAGAGCCAAAGGAGTTAATGATGTTCACCTCTCGCTTCTGCCGCCAATCACAGCCACACACTCTCATCTTACATCAACAATCCTAAACATCTTTAGGTTTAGCTCCCTCACTTAGTGTGACTTCCCATTTCAATTTCGCCACTAAGGTACGAAGGTACTGCTTCTTTCCCCTCCCCAGCCATCATGTAAACCTACTTGTTCTCCCACATTTTACATTTTCCATTCTCATTCTCATTTCCATCGGCAATTCATTCACAAATCCTTTCTTCACCTCCTTCCACACACAAACTTCACTCGGAACAAGCAAAAAAATTAAAATATCACTCAATTAAAAATATTAATATCAATATCAATATCAATAAAACCCTGGATCCAAATATATCTTCCACTTCCATTCATCTGTTTTTATCTTTCTTCCCATCATCATCCATCCATCCTATTATAGACGTCCCCCGCCCAACAAAAATCCGTCAAATTCCTTTGTTGCTCGTCACAAAGCCTTACCGGTCGGGTCACTTTTCCACTCCAAGCATAACACAACACACACAACACGCACAGCACAACAAAATCACAAAACACACACAACCTCTTACCTCCCACTCTTACATTGTCCGCCTCCAACATACATGAGCCGATAATGTCTTCTTACTATCAACACTTCAACGCTCATCAACAGCATACGATTCCTTCCAATGCTCAAAATGGTTCGGTACACAATCGAAGGAACCGAAACACCCGTCAACCCCCAAATTCCATTCAACAAACGAAACAACATCAAAAGATGGCGAAACGTGAAGAGGAAGCCGCCGTGTTGATGACTTATCGTCGAACATTCGAGTACGCCAGATCGTTCGATTTAGAAGATGACGCCGAATTCTGTCCCAACCTCTTGACCGAAGAAGACATGGTATCAATCAATGGTGGTTCGGATCGTTCTTCTTTGGCAAGTGGTTCACCGACAAACTCACCTCCATCGACACAAGTCTCGATAAACTTATCTCCTGACACAAACTTTTCCTTAAACTCCAACTCTCATTCATTTGTTCAATCCGGTTTCAACGTTTCAGCACTCAAGATTCATCAACCTTCCGCTACACGCATTGGGAGAAACGCCATTCCCATCGTGAACCCAAATGACGGAGGATTAATGTCGAGCCCACCTACTTCGGTATCACCCGCCAGGATGCAACAACATCAACAATCAACCAGAGTGCCAGTTCGATTTTATTAGACCATTGACTGCTTCTGTTTTCACCCGTTAGCAAATTTGGTTTTCTTAACTTCGCTTTCATCTGTGTTTATGCATTCTTAATCAATCATCTTCCTTCTGGTGGGTTACCCCTCTCTTCGACATCGATCTTCCCGATGGATGACGGCACATGACAAATAACAACCTCAACGAATCCTCTTGTATATTCATCCGACACTTTCCCCTCTTCACATATTCCTTGAGATGGTTTAATGGGCGCTCTTACATCAAGATATCGATACCTTTGTTTAAATAAGGAGATGGTGTTTTCCCACTTTAATGGGGGTTTTTGATTTTGGAGCGTATATGCATATCTTTTGCGACGGTGTTTCTGGGATAAGCATTTTATTTAATGGGTGGGATACATGAAGCGGCGACTTCATATGGTCTACGAAAACAAAAAGATACATCTTTCAAAGTTACATAGAACGATTTCCTTTTTTCTTGTCAATCATGGAGAAAGGCATACCGGTGTTTGAATTTCGGCGGGTAACATGGGTCGGACACAAAGATTTCATCTCAATCTCTTTGATATTATGGATCCATGGTGTTGGTTGGGTGTGTTGAACAAAGTCGAGCGCGCTATCTCTCTGTATGGGTGAGCGTCACTTGTAGCTGGTGTTGGGTATTTTGGGCTTGTGTTTTTGGAGCGATTTTAAAGTACATGATGGATATATGCGGGTTTTTTTTGCATATTTTTACATTGCGTTCTTGATGTAATTCGATCCAATGTCATCATCATATACTTTTGGCTGGGGCGAGGCGATTTTTGTGTGTACTTGGGATGATATCAAGAAACTTGGGTATTTCTAGGTCTTTGGATGGAGATTAGGAGGTACAAATGTCATATTGTTGGCTTGTTAAAGCTTTAGGAAATTTATATTTTATATTTATCTATTATATGATGTTTGGTTTTGTATGTGTTTAGTATTTGTAAGATTGAGTAAGTATATATATTGTAGTATAGTGTATGTAGATTAGTATGTTATGTTGTATAGTTATAGATAGTATGATAATGAGTTTAGATGTAGATGTAGATGTAGATATAGATGTAAATGTAGATTTAGCTTTAGATTTAATATATGTATACATATAACAAATGATATTTAATATACGATATATGATTATTATCTTTAAGTATCTATTTCATCAAAAAAGATTCTTCTTTTATATATGAAGATGAGAATGTGTTTTTGATGAATACCAATCTCAATTTAACTAGTGTAGATAAACCTGAATATAAGAATCTAAAAATTTCAAGGCCTAAATGTCTATATATTGTGACGAACCCAACGAGCGTTTAGAGATCAACCTTAGAATTAAAAGCTACAGAACTAAAGAGAGCGTGCTACGAGCTATATATGCGATCGGCTTCGAGCTTAGTGCCGCACTAGCCCGATCGGACGCGATCACGTGTATATCGTGACATATATAAGGATTACTCGTATATATAGTTTCAGCCTTGGCATTTAGCCTCGTTTTATACCTTTAGCCTTTTCATTTTCATTAAATATATTATAAATTCATTATATAATAGACGAAAGCTTGAATCATTCCTATTAATTTTTATAAGAGCATTGGGAAAATTAGAATTACATATTTTTTTATATATAAAGAAATGCCCGTTGAAGTCAATTGTATCATATAAATTTTTGAAAAATCTAAAATATACTTATATAAAGGAAGGAGATGTCTATATAACTCGTATTTATATAATTAGATTTCTCTATATGTAGATAGTATAGTTATTTTAAGAATTGAAATTCTATATTAGATTTGTCAATTAGTATCTTATTGAAAATGATAAAATGAATATTTAAATATATACTGATTATATCTCTTTAAATATCTCTAATTTTGAAGTTTTATAATATGTATTGAGATTATTATATTTTTATAAATGTAGAGAATAAAATATTATTTTGATGGGGATATTTGATTAAAATTTATTCGATATTTATTAAAAATCGATTCTTGTGTTTTATTTTATTTTATTTTATAATAGTAATTCTTTAGCTTAGATAAGATAAGATGTATAATATTTATTTATTTATTTATTTATTTATATTAATTAACATCTGTTTTAGACCTCCCTAAGGGTATTTAGACATGCTAAGATAAGGAACTATTTGAACAGTGTCACGGATCGCACCCAATCGCAGCTGCGATCGCTCATGTGCGCGCTTGTGTACATACACGATCATATATACATAGCTAGTATATAGAAGCACTCTACAAGCGCTTTGCTCCCGATTTTGTAGTTGTAGATTCTAAGAATAAATTGTATCCTGTTCTTATAATTCTTCTAAGGCAAAGTGTTATATTATCTATAACTCATTATACAATTACACAGCTATCTGATGGCCAATCAAATAATATCTTATAATTATAATATCTTTTTAGATATATCAAAAACATTCGATATTATTTATAGGAAGAAGACTAATTCTAAGTAAATCTATTTGATAGAAAACAATAAACTCTTAATATACAGAGTTACAAGTATTACTATTATATCCGATTTATTTACCTTAAAGGGACTTTATTGCTCTCCTCCTTTTGCTAGCTGAATACTCCTAGCCAATAATAATCAATCTTAATAAAGCAATGGTTATAGTCCTTATAATTCTAATATAAATATTGATAGATATGAAAAGGATAAACAATCTAGAAACAACTTTTCGATTGAAGTATTAATTCTCAAAAGTAATATACTAATATATACTTTTCCGTTATAGGAAAAATAAGTGTCGATTCTTAAAAACTTTGAGAATTTGCAGAATGAAATTGTAAGATTTAAAAACAAATTATTATAACATAATCTTAATATTATTTATCTATCTTAATCTTCAAGATACTGATAACAATATTATACAGATTCCCTTGTGAATCGCGAAGTCCGGATTCCTGATGTTTTAATTGATTCTATTGAGAGGGTATCTCTTATTATTAGGAAAAGAAAGAATAAGAAAAACCCTTATTTGCAAAATCAGTTTTTGTGATAATCCCTTTTGAGTATTGATAGCAGACTCCTCTCAAACCCGATCACTTTGTTAAGTGATCTACAAATTTACTGAATACTTTATTCTTGTTTATTTACTATTATAATAAAGTGTTTATATATTCCAAAGCCCATCAATCTTTTATTCAAATTTAAAGATAATGTAAAGCCGAAAGCAAGCCTCTAGCAATTATTGGTTATCGAGTAATTCGAACTTTACGAAAATTTGCTTATCTCGGAAGCGCAATAGTGATTTTATATAATAAATTAGATAGAAGAAGAGATATAAGAATATGTATTCTCGCTATATATTTAAGTTCCCTACTTGATAGGATAGTAATTGATCAATCAGCTCACAGTTATTTATAAGAATCCGATTGAAGCCGATCATGCACGAATTGAGTACAAATATTAGATTATATCTAATAATATTTAATGAGGAAATTTCCTAGTATGATATTATAGATTTAGATTATTAGCTATATAGACGGAAATCATTGATCCAATAACTCTCCTTTATAATTTAAAAAGAAAAATATCCGATTTCCTTTAATAAGCTATTGATTTCTATATTAACAAATATATCGTACAGGACAATAGCATATCACGATGGAGGGGAATGATTGGACAATAATGGTATAAGTATAAGAATGTGTATATCTCCTCATCTACAGTTAGAACTGATCTCTTCTCGTAGAGAAGAGATCGGATTATATACTGGGTGATCTTCGGGTACCGATCACGGGAGCGGTGATCGGTCCTGCGGCCGATCCGGTTATCGTTGTTCCGCTCCGGAGTATTCTATATAATGAATACCTGATCATCACATGATCTGATCCACGTGGTCTACAACACCGTTTCCGTCACACACCCCCCAGATCGCGATGATCTGCATAAACAAACAAAGGAAATTAGCGCAGTTGCGCCTTGTTGGAGCCTCAATGTGGTCTAGATCATACAATGAAACCATCTTATCCCTACCATGGCAGGGCTTTGATGTCCATTCCCTATATGATCGGTATGAGAGTGTGATACAAAGGAAATTTTGACGCGCCCCTAGCCGTCGGTAAGTCGTTTGATTCAGGCATTATGGGGTGATATCTCTCATTTTCCACCATATTGCCTGAAAATTTTCAAAGGATCGCGGGTAGATGCTTTCTTGAAGCCTCACTTCGCTACGTATGCCTGCTGATCTGCCGTTACAAACAGAGAATACAGGTTCTGATCCTCGTATCCGCGGATGTATGCTGCAATGTCAGCATTGTTATCCGGATAGGGTAATTGAATTGATGATCATAACAATGGTGGCGTTAGGTTGCCAGAGACATTCAGGAGGTCCAGGCGATCTCTGATCAAGTGATCTTGCCCACGTGCAGGGCAGATGTGATCTATAATACACGCCCTTTCCTTCGAACTCTTCTTTCTCTAGACATCAACACCATCATGTTTTGTTTCCTTTCGAATGGATCACCCGTCTCCTGACAAACGTGGTCCTGGTCGGCCCAAAAACCCTGAAAAGACAGGGCGCCGTGGTCGGCCAAGAAAGCATCCCTCTGCTGTTCCTTCTTCTCCTTCTACTCATGATGAGTTCTCTTCTGAACCTGCATTTGAGCGTGGTTCACTTCCACCCCCAAGGTCCCCTGCTCCGGCAGCGACTAATCCTCCGGCAACACCATTGACTGCTCGTCCGAGTGGTCTTGCTACCGTTGATCCTGTCCCTGCTCCTGTGAGCCCTGCTGCTGATCGACCGTTGACTCAGCAGCCACTTCTTCCCGAAAACCTTCCTGGAAATCCCTCGATTGGTTTTCCTCAACTGCTCCCTTCTGCTCTGCCGTCGAATGATGGCCTTGCCGATCCCAACTATGCTGCCTTCCTTGCTTGGATGCATCAAGCCCGCCAACACCCTCCACTAGGAAGTGCTATTAACCCCGTATTTCCTTTTGCCCCTGTTGTTGTTACTCCCCCTGTTCCTGTTCCTGTT